TCGATTTCTTTCATTAATTTTCAATAACTTAAATACATTAATGTGTATCTATAACTATAGTGTGTATCTGTATTATAGTATATATTTTTGAACTTTTCACACTTAGTCATTTTTGTGTCGCAGTTTTTGAATTTTATAATGATTGATTATAATATTAATACATACTAAAAACTCTATATACAAGCGCTTGCGTTCGTAAAGCTAACGCTTTACAGCTCTTTGCGTTGTAACCCCCAGAAGCCTTGTCACGTTGCGCCGTTATTCGCTAGTGACAGCTTTGCCTCACATAAAAAGTCATAGGTTCTTCATCAAGCCATTGACATAGGTATTTCTTCCTAGCTTAAAGTCATAGGTGTCTTCTTACCTTATCATTTTCTCCTTCTACAAACAAATTAAAACGAACTCCATCAAGTCCTTCACTTAAAAAACCTGAAGCTTCTTCATCTGTTGGTGAATTGTCAGTTCACTTCAAGTAATAATTAAGTACTGAATGAGAAAGACACAGTTGATTGATTCACAAATACTGCATTTTCTTGTATATTTGTGAGTATTTTTTTTTTTTTTTTTTTTTTTGCTTAGTAAGATTCATGATTTTAGCATATTACTTGTTTAATTTGTTTGAAGTCTGATTTATGGATTAAGTTGTACATGGGTATGTGTTCAGGACCTTCAGGTGTTTTGACAGCTTCTTGGGCGCAAATGCTTTAAGTATGGACTGCTGTAGATCCTTGGCTGCTTCAGTCTACTCTTTTTGCTCCTATGAGTTGTGGTTTTGTGACATAATTGCTAGAATGTGTTATAAATTAATGACTGAAGTGTTCTAGATTTGGATTTGAAGTTTTTTTTTAATATGATAAACTTGAATTTAGTATATTGCCATTTCTAGTTTAATTTTTTTTCTCTGTGCCTGTGGTGCACGTGTGAGCTTTTATCCTGCTGTAATATGCAGCTTGGCATCCCAGTTTCCATTTTAAACCATTTTGGCATGGTTTGCTCTTCTTTATGGGCCATATCTTGGTCATATCATATCATTTTAATAGGTGACCGGACAAATGACTGAATTATGTTATTTGCATTCTTCTCTGCTCAAGAAAGTACATCTCCTACTTTCTAGTTATAGGGGAAATACTTCTCAAAAAAAAATATATAGTGGAAGTAGAAATTACTTCGACTCAATTCTGTGTTTGTGTGTGTTGTGTCTGAGTTGGGGATTTCTGTTGCAAAATGCTTTGCCTTTTTGGTCCCATTCAACCCATGTACCCATGAAGTCCTAAAATGTAGAGAGAGAGCAATTTTTGAAGATTTGTTCGATTTTTTGCTTGTCTTAGGTTGATAGTGTTTTCTCTATTTAGTATGCAGTGAGAGACATATTCTCTCCACTTGTAAACCTGCACATGGGATTGGAGTAATCTGTATGATTAGAGTACTAAATTATGGGCAATTCTCGCCCAAACCGGGTCTGGCCGAACCCAACACATTCAAATAGCAAGTGCTATACACTTGCTTTGGAATTGGATAACACTCAACCAATAGCAGAACAAGTGTATTTCACTTGTTTTGGTTGGAGGGGTTCGCTCCCTAAATTACACAGTTGATATTGTATATTGGCTTTACCATAAAGGGGGGTATATATTACCTCAAATACTAGGTTTAAAATCATGTTTGACTATAGTTTTATTTACAGACTATCCTAGGTTCTTTAGAAAAAAATCCTCCGTAATTGGAATTTGTGCAAGTAACATAAGTAACCTTAATGGGTTCAATTATGTGAATTATTCTCTTGGTCTGGGTATCCTTTTAATCGTGCATTTGGTACACATATAGTAATCAGTATTGGACTTAATTTACTAATTCTTAAATGTAGAAGATAGTTTAAGGGATATACTTTATCTTAATTTCTCTCTGTTTTAGGATAAAGAACAAATCTGTGTAGTCCATTTTCCTTATCAAGTTAATTCCTTGAGGTTGTTAAAAGCTCTTAAGCCGCTAGCCTTTGCGCCAGGCGAGGTGAACCCTTATGCCGCCATAAGGCGTCGCTTTTTTGAACCCAAAAATCTGAGTTTTAAACAAAAAAACTTAAAAAAGACCTTTTAACTAAAAGTCAAGCCTTGTAATCCTTGAAAACAAAGAGAGAGAAATTGTCAAGCCTTTTTAACTTATTTTCCATAGTTGTCAAAGGCGAGCATAGCGCACACCTTTGCGCCAGACGATGCGATGCAAGACCTCATCGCCTTGCCTGGCTCCCCGCTTTGCTGGTCCCCAAAAGTCATCACCAAGGTGTTGCCTTTGTCGCTTTGAAGGGGCCTTGAGGCGGAAGAAGGCGGTGCCTTTTGGGTGTCATTAAAAAAAAAAATTGACTTTCCCAACTTAAAATTACCAATTCTGCCCAACTCTTTCTCTTTAGAAACCCTACTGCAGCCCGCCCATTCTCTCACTCTCGCACTCGCCGTCCGCCGCACCATCACCGGCCATGAGAGTTGCAGACTGAATTAGGTCTAGAAGCACCCCGTTTCTTTCTCTGTAATTCATTACTTTTTATTTAACATATTATTTATTTAAATATATTAATATACATTAAAATATGCACTTAAATCTTTTACTATATACATTTTATCTAACTACATATTAGTACTAATACATTTATTCACAAGCGCTTTATCTCCAAAAAGCCTTCGCTTTCTGTCTCGCCTAGCCTTGTAGCCAGGCGAAGCCTTGTCGCCTTGCCTCGCCTTACACCTCTCACAACTATGTCATTTGCTCAATTTAGGACTTATTTGAAATTGGTACTTTTGATTTGGTTATTGGTAGTTATTTGCTCAACCCTAAAAAACCTATGCGCCTCACCTCCCCTCGTAGCCAAGCGAAGTTTGGTCGCCTCGCTTCGCTCTACGCCAATAACAACTATGCTTGAGATCGTTTTATAGTAAATAGTTCCAAAATCTGGCCCAATTGGCTTGAAATATATAATCTATTCAGTTAAAATTTTCTTGTTTTTTCTCCTATTTGCTCCGTGGTTTAGATTCATTGGTACTTTGTACTAGTTCCAAAATCTGGCCCAATTGGTTTATATGTTTAAAGAGTAATCCTCGTTGTGAACATTCAGTAAACTGAAACGTGACATCAATGTCCAGTTAATAACATTCATAAGTAACATTATCCAGTATAATTATTTAATTAAAGCAATCCTACAGAACAGATACTCATTAAAAAGGAAAGAAATTCCTCAAATCTGGGTTACTTATATCCTACCCCAGTGGATTTAATTCACTGGGGTTGGATGTCCTACACATGGGCATGAGAGGACAAAAATTTTTCCTTTCATGCCCATGTGGCATTCATCCAGCACCCCGGTGGATAATTAAATCCACCGGGGTAGGCACGAATTTTCCTCACTGAAGGTGAATGTGGGTCCATTTTTGTCTACTTCTGTGATACTCTGTTAACTGTTCAAGGTCTCTGGATTAACTTTTGCATAATATCGAGTGATTCTGCTTTAATTCATTTAATTTGCGTGCCAAAATTTGTCTGTCCCTTGGCTTAATCAATTAATGCTTGTATGTGTTCTACAAAATCCAAGTTTTAATTATTGTAGTTCCAGTTATTTGCAAGTGGTGATCCATATACTTGGAATGATTTTTTTTATTTTTTATAACTATATGTGGGGTAATTACCCTGATTATTAGACCTATGAATTTTGTTTTACTAAATTAACCAGTATCTAATGAAGCTAACCCACTTTTTGATTTTCATGACGTGTTTCTGTGACTTGTTACTGTTACTTTCCGGACCTTTCCGGACCTCTGTGATTTATGTTATTGTTCATAATAGGATCCTTGGTTTAATTGTTAATTCAGGGTACAATGCAAAGTTATGCAAGTAAATTCCCGTAAATTGGGTCGGAAATGAAGCCCCACTTCATCCGTATGCCAAGTTGAGGTCGTGATCGTGATCGTGATCGCCTAATTTGCAAACTCAATCGAGGCTATAGCAGCTCTGAACAAACCACTTGGTTTTTCGCTTCGTCAAGTTCGAGGCTCCCTCTCTCAGTTTTCTCAAATGCTGCTTGTGGGTCATGCCTCAACTAGTTGCACAGCTTGTGGTTCCATTGTGAGATGTTTCCACTCTAATGTTTTGTTCTTCTACCAATTTCGTGCATGCTCATCCTATATATTCTACCGAGCTAAATGCAAAAACACCCTTTGTGTTATGCCTAACGATCTAAACCCCTGTGTTATTTTTATTAGCAAAAAAACCCATGTATTTTTTTTATTAGCAAAAAATCATTTGAAATTCCTTTATAAATCACAGGGAGGGTCAATTTATAAGTGAACATGAGGGTTATTGATAATTTTTTAGGTTAAGAAGGGTGTTTTTGCATCTTTAGTGGGAGTATAATTGTCATTTCGACTTGGGAGGGGGGCTTTGTGAATAAGAAATACGCATGGGGGTGTTTTTGCATTTCACTCATATTCTGCTCCCCCATAATTTATATGTATCAAGATTTACTTATATATACCAAGTAAATAATTAAAGGATTAATGTTAATCAATTTCATGTTGTTCTAGGTGGTGTCTAAACACATCGGAAGAGGGGACTGGAATTCATACTTGAAGCCATTAACCATCTTAAGTACCTGGAGGATATAACTGGACTGACCGAATTAAAGAAATCCGCAGGGTCTTTCGAACTCGACTGGGATAATGAAGATGAGTTTCTTGAAATTTAGAATTTCGTATAATCTCAAATGGTATTAAGTTGGTTTTCTTTTAGCTAATTGTATGCAACACTAAACCATATATATTTCAAAAATTGGTTAGAAATGTGAATGAGAGTTTTTTGGTTGTTTTTGGTTACTTGTGTTTTTGAAAGAATATAAGACGACATGGTAAAGAAATTAGATTGTTGGAATCTGTATTTAAATAATTTCCTAATCTTTTCTTTTGGAAACATTTAGCCCATGCATTTATTTAAATATTTTTTGTGATAGATAATAATAAGAAGGATCAGTGGTCTAGTGGTAGAATAGAACCTTCTGACGGTATAGACCCGGGTTCGATTGCCTGATGGTGCATTTGGCGGTTTTTTTTCTTTATTAATTCATTCATTAATCATGTAAGTGTGAGAAGAGTTGACATTTCTACACAGTTTGCACCAATTACCAATTAATTTTGTACTTTGAATGTATAAGTTTTTAATAATTATTTTAAAGGTGATGTGTGTTAAGCCTAAACGTCCAACATAAATGAGCTTTTGGCACTTTGCATCCGGATTTGAAAATTTTGGCACTTTATACCTTAATGTGTTTTGATGAGAAAATTTAGTTGCAAGAAGGGTAGAATAGTTATTTTTGAATTGTTTTGATATTTTGCACCCTAAAAATATAAATTTTGACATTATGCATCCTGAAAATATAGATCGTTGGCACTTTATACTCTGAAAATGTAATTTTTTTAAACTTTTCACCCCTACTTAAAATTTTTTGTACATTTTTTATTTTAATCAAATTACTAAGCTATTCTTAAGAAGGTAAGAACTCTTTTTTCTTTTTTGTAATTTCTAAGTTTGACATGATAGTAGATAATAATTATAAATTTGTAGAGTATGTCGTGTAGAAATTTTTTGGAAACAAAAACAAAAAGACTTTTACCTATTGTATAATTTTATATTGAATAGCACAATTGATGCAAATCAGTGCTTATTTAAGGACAAGATGTACATATAATTTGTAAAAAGAAAAAGAATGATTATTGAACTTGAAATAAAAATATGTGTTTCCTATATTTGATTGTTGTGCATTGAACATGAAAATTTTATCTCTTCACCGATGACATTCATGAGTTTTTTTCAAAGGAAAATATTAGGGTGCAAAATGCCAAAATATATTTCTAAGGTGCAAAGTACCAAATTTTTTAGTCAGGATGGAATGCGCTAAAAAAATTAATTTTGCAGAGTGTAAAGTGCCAATATTTTATATTTGTAGGGTGCAAGGTGCCAAAATCTACATTTTTTAGGGTGCAAAAGTGCCAAAAATATTTAAAAATGACTATTATACCCTTCCAATAACAATTTTTTTATTAGAACACACTAGGGTGTAAAGTGTTAAAACTTTTAAGTCAGGTTCAAAGTGTTAAAACCCTATATTTTCAAGATGCAAAATACCAAAAACCCCACATAAATTGAAAATCAAGATTAAGATTTGTTCTAAAGTATTGGACATTATTACCCCATGAGCGAATTTTTTAAACTATTTAAGTGGACTTAGCCGAACTCACGTGAATTTAATAATGTAGTATCAAAACTTGGTAATTCAAATTTATCAAAATGTGGTGTAAGTCTTGTACAAGTCATAAGTCCATACATGAAATAACACAAGTCGTACAATGGAAGGGGCTAGTTTGAAACTTATATGGTGATCAAGGGGTAAATAAGGGAATCAATAGAGATTGGGGGAAACGCGCCGACTAAGGGCACTCTATTTGGACAAACTAAGGATGAAATTTATAATTAACGGAGCCGACGTCATTACTGAACTTAAGGGGCATTAATTAGGGTAATCACAAAATGAGATTGAACTTAGATTCAATTACACTCTTAAAAAGAGAACAAAAATCGTGATTTTATTCATTGGTCGATTTTTTTTTGTTTTTAGAGTATGTCCCTAATAGTATGTTGTTCTTAATTTCCTCGTACCCAACACCCCACGGTCCCCACCCCAGTCAACTATTGTAATGGCCCATACCATTTCTAGAAATAATACTCGAACAAATAAAAACTTGATAAAAATTAATTTTTTTTTTATAGAAACGGTTCAAAATCTTTTAAATTAGAAGGACCATCTATGTAAAAGTAATAGTAAAATTTTATATTAAAAAAATCTTTTGGAAGAATTTAGACAAAAGGTGTGACACCAACTGCAGCAGTGGCCCACTCCATCAATCAAATAAAAATATTTAAACATTAAGAATAAATTTTTCAAATACGAAACATAGTAGATCGAATGAGAGATTTCAGAAAAATTACAAGACATACATCTCACTCATGATACGTCACTTATCCAATCAAATAAAAAATATGGGAATTCACTTCGAGGACCTATAATCGAGCCGAACCAGAAAGACACCTCGATGAACGATCTCCTATTATACCTAAATACTGAAAAAATGGTAAACAAGGAACGCATAAGTTGATCGTCCAACTTAGTGAGGTTGTGGTGCACATGAGCATATGAAGAGAAAGAAACATACATCATAGTAAATAACCACATAATACAAATACAAAAGGTTGTCCATGTCGTCTTCTCTTACCCTCCATACAAATTAACCAGACACACCAGTAAGAAGCGACCTTACACAGACAGATGCGTGACATATCATTGCTAGAAGTCAGAAGTTTGACTTCACTCCCCAAGCATACCAACATGGTTGGTGAGTCGGGTCAATAGTAGGGTTGAGGCAACCTTATAGCCATCTACTACCTAGGTTGTCCCAAACCACTGTCAACCGAAAATCTGGGGCCCTCACATAGAACAAAACAAAACAAAGCAGAACCGAACAAAACAGACATAGTAACAAAATAACTGTAGTAACATGTAAGCAATTAAAGTCCACGTATCGACGAAACTCAGATAATCATCAAAATGAATCCACCTAATCATAGGAACATATCATTAATACCTACAAACATAACTCATATATGATTCTAACTAAACATGCTCATGTATAATAAATTTCACTAGTATTAATGCATATCATACTTTACCAAAGCAAAATCCATAAATACAACCCAAATTTTCTATTTTATTCCGACTAAGCATGTTCATGTTCTACGACATAACTAATTAATTGCATGTCATACGAACAATTAATCAGGACAAATCACATACGCTTCATACAATCATAAATTCCTACACCAACTAAGCATATTAATGTATAATATAATTTGACAAGTCTCAAACATGCATTATTTCATATTCACCCAAACATAACATACAATCACACAATCAAATTTCTTATATAATTCTTAGTAACCACACATAACCACATTCAAAGACGCATGCCAAAACTCAATTATTATCACATAAGGACTCAATACCGCTGTACACAAAGCTCACCTGGCTTTGTACTCGAATATCGATTCGCCTTCGATGCCTGGATAATAAACTAACACTTAGTGCAACAAATTTAGGATTTCTTCCACTTGTACTTCAGCCGAGCAGCAGCTGGACAATTGTACTGCTGCAATTTTTTTTGGTAAAATTGCATTTTGACCCCTAAATATTTCAAAAATAACACTTTAGTCCAAACTTTTAGAAACAACAAAATGATCTAAAGATAAACTCAGACAAAATATATTTTATTTTCACGGTCATTTTAGCTTTATAAAAACACAACATCATTTCTTAACAAAAATAAATAAATTACCTAAACTTTCTCAAAATACATAACTTTAAAAATATTTTTACTAAACCAAGTAAAAGTTTAAAGGAATTTTAAAAGTCAAAATTTAGGTTATCACAACTCTAGTATACAGCGTTGAGGTCTTATTAACTAGGGGTTTTTATAATATTATTACTAAGTTTAAACGTGTGAGCTATATTGAACGCAATATAACTTTAATAAACTTGTTATATGAAAAATATTAGTGTAAATTTTCAAAGTTGAGACAAATAATTGACAAAAACTTTATAAAATTATTAAAACCCATCTATTTTAAAAAAAGTATGTGTTTCTAAATTTTCAGTTAATAGTAAGTGAAGAATATATTGTTTATCGCAACGGACAAAGTAATAATATGAAATCACCCAAAAAAATTATAAAAGAAATAATTTATAGGCAAGCAAAGATAGATAATTTAATAACTAGATGAAATTTATAATTGAGCTAAGGTTGTAATACTTACTGAAATTACAATCGGTGTAGATGAGTATACCAATATATTGGAACACAATTTTTTTTAGTGGGAATGAAAAACTCTGTTGCGGTTTTCAAATATAAAAACACAACTATTTTCAAGGAAAAAAAAAAGAAAAATCTTCCGCTAGATATAATTTTATGTGAAGTAATTTTGCATTGCATATTTTTAGTACGAAGAAATGAAGCATTTTTAGAATAAAGTAGGTTTACTATATACATTTGGAATGAATTAAATAACAAACACTACATATATTTAGGTTTTATTTTGTTGGTCCCAAAAGTGGTCAATGAGGTCTAGAGGGGGGGTGAATAGACCTCTGAAAATTTTAAAAACTTTTTCTCTAACTTTTCAAATCAGCAGACTAAGCTGATCGAACTTGTGAAACTACTAAGCTGATCGTGCACAAAGCTTGAACAACAAAGTTGACCACTAGTCTGATTTTACTCGTCTGTTTCAAATCAGATCAGAGTTTCAAAACTTGTATGCAGCGGATTTATCAAGTATGTTTTTCAAACAAGTTTATCTTTCAAAGTTTTCTTTGTCTTAAAAGATTTTATCCCCAGTTTTCGCAAACTCCTTTTGAAAATCTTTTAATTAACTTGAATGTTTGAAAGCTTTGGAAATTATGCAAAGTAAAATGCAAACTCAAACACAAGTAATTTTTATAGTGGTTATATGGATGTAAATCCTTTAGTCCACTCTTCCAAGTCACAAAGATCTTGGGTTATACTAGAAAACACACAGTTAACAGTATACAATGCTTGCGCCAAACAACAAATGAACTGGCCACAAGTGCAGTAAGAAATCACAAAGAAGTTCTACTCTACGAAGCTAGATCACTCACTAAGATGGATCTACACTCCTCACACGCTCTTTTCAGTATAGGAGATCACTCAGAAAACCTACACTAAGAAGTCATATCACTTCACACAGATGGATATACACTCCTTTCTTTTCTCAGTTGAAAGTCACTTAGACAGACAACGTATGATCTCTGTTCTTCAACAAATAGCTTCGTCAACAGATGACTTCGCTTATGATCAGACGACTCAACTGATGGATCTTGCTCTAAGGATGTGATCTTGATTTGTGCAAGTCTCTTTTCGATCTTCAGTTTGTCTTCTATTTATACTACGCGGATTTGAATTTCTGCCCGTT